ATACAAAATATTACAAATACAAAATATTACAAATACAGAATATTACAAATACAAAATATTACAAATACTAAATATTAAAAATACAGAATATTACAAATACAAAATATTACAAATACAAAATGTTACAAATACAGAATATTACAAATGCAATATATTACAAATACAGAATATTACAAATACAATATATTACAAATACAAAATAGTACAATTAGAATATATAACAAATAAAAAATATCACAAATACAAATGTTACCACTTCAAAATTTAACCCATACAAAATGTTATCAACGTAAGATATTGCCTAATGTCTATATGTAAAATGTTACCATTATTACTTGTTACAAACAGAAAATGTTACCAGTAATAAATGTGATCAGTATAAAATGTGAACAACATGTTACCAACATGAAATTTTACCAACATAAAATGTAACCAATTCAAAATGTTACTAATAAAACTGTTGCCAAAAAAAAATGTTTCTGATTTCAAAAGAACATGATTGAAAGACGAAAATCAAAAACTTTTCTTAATCGATAAGTTAATATTCAAGAAAAGTCTAATAAAAAACGAAAAAAATAGTTATTTTTTTTCTTGAGTTTTTCAAATTCGTTTGAAACCCGTTTTAACCCATGGAAATAAGGACAAATTATAAACATTTGTACACGTAAGCTTGAAATAGATGGTACAGTACGGTACAAGGTTGCCAGCAGTACATTGATGATTGTTTTGTAAAAGTTGACACTTCATGTTTTATCTAAACTTTATTCCTTAGAACACTTACATAGTTTTGGAGGCCGTGACGTCAGATAAAGCCCAAACTCTGAAACTCAATTAGAAAATTCAATATTCTTGGGTTCTAACTTCTATTTATAGGGTAGACACCAACTACCAGCTATTTTTAACCATTTTTATATAAATCATAAAGAATTTTATTACAATGATAACATTTAACTCTTAACTTAATTGTAAAGTTTAATTTTTGTGTATTCTGCTTTAGTGTATGGTTTTAAATAAGCTTTTACTTAAAATTGTTTATTTTCTAAATTCTTGAACACCATTGGATTTTTGGCCTGTTCAAAGTCAAAAGAAAAATTGAAACACTTCATAAGTAGAATTATTTCTAAATTTTATTTTAGAAAAATATGATTATATGTCTAATGTCTCTATGCTTGTTTGGTAAATTCTTGTTTTGATGTTTTTTTAAAAAGATTGATTCTTACTCATTTAAAACCGATAAAAAATATTGCCAAAACCATATGTTTTGGAGTTCAAAAGAACACGATTAAAAGAAAATCTAAATCGTTTTCTTTATTAATGAATTAATTCAAGAAAAAATATTTATTTTTATTTTTATAAAAATATGGTTTCATGTCAGTTTTCCCTATGCTTGGTAGGTAACAACAAATTGTTTTTCATGTTTTTTTTAAAGATTAGTGTTTACTCCTTTAGATACTTTTGCTGGTAAGTTGAATTTTTACCGTTCTCTAGTATCTGTATCAGGTACGGGTATTTTTACTCTAACTCTACTTTAGGCTGTTTACTAGTATCTGTTTAAGGTAACTCTACTTAAGGCTGTTCTCTAGTATCTGTATAAGGTACGGGTTATATTACTAACTCTACTCTAAACTGTTCTCTAGTATCTGTATATGGTACGGGTTATATTACTAACTCTACTCTAAACTGTTCTCCAGTATCTGTATAAGGTACGGGTAATATTACTAACTCTACTCTAAACTGTTCTCCAGTATCTGTATAAGGCACGGGTTATATTACTAACTCTACTCTAAACTGTTCTCCAGTATCTGTATAAGGTACTGGTTATATTACTAACTCTACTCTAAACTGTTCTCCAGTATCTTTTTAAGGTACGGGTTATATTACTAACTCTACGCTAAACTGTTCTCTAGTATCTGTATAAGGTACGGGTTATATTACTAACTCTACTCTAAACTGTTCTCTAGTATCTGTATAAGGTACGAGATATATTACTAACTCTACTCTAAACTGTTCTCTAGTATCTGTATAAGGTACGGGTTATATTACTAACTCTACTCTAAAAATTCTCTTTAAAGGATTTGAACTGGTGGGGCTTCAGTAATCAATTAATCCTGTTTATACACTGCTCACAGTTCTCACATTCTGCTTAATTGAAAACTATAATTTATATCTTTTTAGGATTATTCTCAGCTTTCAGAGTTTTTCCTTCCTCATGATGGATTTCTAGCTTGTGCACTTTGATTGATGAATCATCTTGATTTCGGGCAAACTAAACAAAATATCCAGAACCATCATATATCATAATTCCGAGACAATTTCAGCTGATCATCCTTGTGCCCTTTCAATCATCGTTCAGTATCCCAGTATCCAATATCCATCGGTCTTTTATCTTCCAGATACATTTATCTTTTGTTTTGTTTCAAATTCATAGAAACTCATCAAGGCCAATTCATGTTTAATAATATTTTATTTATGTTATATCATGTTTAATCATGTTCTATCATGCTTAATTATGTTTATCATGTTTAATTATGTTTATCGTGTTTAATTATGTTCTATCATGTTTAAATATGTCTGTCATGTTTAATCATGTTCTATCTTGTTTAATTATGTTTATCATGTTTAATTATGTTTATCGTGTTTCTATCATGTTTAAATGTGTTCTATCATGTTTAATCATGTTCTATCATGTTTAATCATGTTATATCATGTTTATTTATGTTCTATCATGTTTAAATATGTTCTATCATGTTTAATCATGTTCTATCATGTTTATTTATGTTCTATCATGTTAATTATTTTCTATCATGTT